TACGGTATGCACATATATACACACTGTACACACACATCTATACATGCACATGCATATGCACACATGCTGTACACATGCGTACATATACATCTGTACACATGCATACATATATATGCACACACCTATACACACTGTACACACATATACACACATACATGAATGCACCCATACTATGCACACATATACACATAATGTGCACACACACACACACATACAGGTACACATACATGTACACACATATGCACACAGTTACATGTATACATACATATACACGTTTTTCCTCCTAATTACTAAAATAAATGCTCAATGCAAAACCAAAAAATACAGAGAAACACAACTAGAAAACCTGATATTTTGTCATGTTCCTTCCAGAAATTTTCTATGAATAGTCACTCGTATTCTAATGTATCATACATATTAGAGGTTACATTATGTACTATATAATATATAAATAAGGAAGTATATAGAGGTCTTTTTAGATATGCTTAATGAATATATATTTGTATATTTTAATTAAAATCTCACATAAAATATGATATTAATTGTATATATTTTTTATCCTAAGGTAATATATTAGTTGTAGAAAGTTAGAAAATGTGTATGAACAAAAGAAGATGAAAATCATGTATAGTCTCATCGTTTGGAAAAGAGTACTTTCATTTGCTGTATGCCCCCCTCACTTATTTCAATATGCACTTATTTCAATAAGTATAAAATGATAAGTCCCATTACACAGGAGTATATGTGTAATGGAGTATATGTTCCACAAGTAGGCTAGGGGTATCACCAATGAGCATCTTAAACCACTGTTTCCTCTTTCCCTTGTGGCTTCCCAGCCACAGACCCACTTCTCACTGTGGAAGGGGACACCACCTGAACGATGGGCCACTGCTCAGCCTTGGGGTTCCATGCTGACTCTCTTGAGTTGCTAGAGGCTTTGTGGAAAGATTTCTAAATTTAAAAATCTTTCTTTAAAGTGCCAAGTCAGATGGTCTGATAATGCCACTTTACCATAAGCATAGTTCAGAAAAGACAGTCGATAGCCTAAGAAAATTTCCCCTCAGATAGGAAGGGAAAGTGGACAGCTCTGCTGGGCCAGGAGGAGAAGCAGAGGAGAGAGGGGACAAAGTAGCAGTTAGACAAGCAAGGCTTGCCTGCCTCCCTTCCTTGGGATAATATCTCAGGGACTAGAGGGTCAGTAAAAAACAGAGGGAGCTGCGGGGGGGGGGGATCTAAAACAATCTGGGTTAGGGCCCTGCTTTTCTGAGACGTAGTTTGAGGAGTGTCCAAGTCTTGAACTTAGCAGGCACAGATCCAGCGTGGTGCCGTGGGTTGGGTTAGGAATGCAGGAGGGATTCAGAGTCTAGGCAAATGGGCATGAGACGGCCCTCCTAGTCTCACAACTTGCTTAGGCATCTAGTATATGCCTGATTCCTTTATGGCCCCAGCACAGTAACGCAAAGTGCTAAGAAAAGGCTTGGGGTTGAAGAAGCCACAGTTTTTCTCAACCTTCCATTCTAAGTCTTCTCAAAGGAGAAGAAATAATACACCCACTTTCTAATGCTGTTCAATTCCATTCAATGGAGTTCCCACCCAGCTTGAGGAATAAGCTCTCTTTCAAGTTTAATTCATTCTATTCTATTGTGGTACACACATTATACATGTCAGATTAAGGTACATACTGGGGGACCCCAGCACAGACACTGTGCCACTGCCTTGGGCCTTCAGAGCTTTGAGAGGGTTAGCCCAGCCATTGTTCTCTCATCCTATTTCTGATGAAATTATCTTCTCCCTGCTCCTCCAGCCCCAGCACATCCTCTTCTCAATCCTCCATCTCCACCTACTTCTCTTCCATCCCCTGCTTCTGTGAGTCTTGGAGTGCTCATGGTAATAGCCAACCTATGCCAGATAGAGCCAGGCCTTAAGGCTATGGTGAGAAAGTCAGAAAAGTGGAACAGGAATGATCATTGGGGTAGAAAATGAATAATAATACCTACTATCACTGTTACTGTTATTTCACTTGTAATGATTCTTACTATATGCCAGGCACTGGTTTAAGCATTTTACGTGTATAGTATGAGCTCATACACTTTTGCTCACTCATGTAATTAACTCAAATGCATGAGTTCATACTGCATATGTTACAGCCTATGGGGCAAGTGCATCTAGATCCCACTTTAGAGATGAGGAAACCTAGGCACAGAGAGGTTAAATGACTTGTCCTGAGTCACTCAGCTAGTACATGGAAGCTAAAACCCCACCACAGCAGGCTGGCTTTGGACCCTCATAATTAGCCACAGTTAGGGGACATCAAATGAGCTAAACCAAGGCAAGTGGATGCATTTGGTTTGGGAATGCAAGCTGACCCATAGCGGTCCCACAGAATCGAAAACAATCCATAATAACTTTTGGGAGATTTGCTAGAAGGCAGGGAGTTTAGAATGCCTATGGCTCCTGCTTTGTAGCTCTGGAAACTGAAGCCGGGGAACTAGGGCTACGTGACTTGCCTGCAGTTGCAAGAGGTAGCTGCAAGAGAGTGGAATTTGCATCTGCATCGCACACTAGGTGGGGCAGAGCTAGCGTTCAGGAAGGTGTACATGTCTACACCTGCACAGGCACTTCTGGAGGAGGCAGGCGTGGCGGGCCCCCTGCTGAGGAATCCAGCCAGGGAAGTCATCCTTTGTCTCGCTCTGGTGGCTTTCAAGCAAAGAGCCCAGTGTGTTTTGCAGGCGTCCATTTATGCGCTTAGCGCCTGAGCTGCACAGACTGAATGACAGATGCCCCCACCCAGCATCCAGGGACTGTGTTTCCACACGCAGGCAGGGCCAGGGTGAGGTCCGGATTAACCAGAGAAGCTGTGCTCTTCTTGCAGGGCCGCACTAGGCCGGGGAGGTGGGGGGGGTCCTGCTGAAGCGAGTGGTCCTTGGAAGCACAAATCTTGGAGCTCCCACAGCCAAAGGCCCCAGAGGTTTATTACCAGGGGCCTGTGAGGGGACGATGCTACTCCCTGTCACAGATGAGGAAACTGAGCCTCAAAATTAAACCTGGAAAATGATTTCCAGAACCTCAAATCAAGTCTACTGGCCCCTGTTCCAGGTCTATCTTCCAATACACCATGCTGTTTTGAGTACCGGTGCCATTTAAAATATCAAGCATAATGGGGACTTGAGTCATTTAGACTCAATTAAGCTCACCCTGGAACAAGTTCAGAGGAGCCCCTTGGTATCCAGATCAGACTATTCATCTGCCCAGTGATGGATGCATTTGAGCCCTGCCTGGAGGCAGGAGAGAATCCCTGTGCACCCTGAAATTGCACTGCTGCTCCTGCCCCGGCTCTTCACATCACACATAACATTTTCATACATGTGCCTCCCAGTGTGTAGTGTCTCTTTTCCTCCAACCCCCCTCTCCTTTCGATGCCCCCTGAAAGCCCATCTCCTGTAATGAAACCACAGCTATCTTCCTGGAAGGAAAATTACACCACCTCACCCATTTGCCCTTTTGCTCCTCCTTGGTTCTAGACCCTGTAGTTCTCAACTCAGGGTATCTTGTAAGTCCTTGTGTCGTTTATTCTTGGGCATGGCTTCAGCGTGGGTGTCCTCCCCAGTATATACTGTCTTATGTGTTGAGGCGTGTTTGTGGTTATTTTGCCCAAAGGAAGACACCATCCATACAGTAAGGCATTGGCATTATTCCAGTGGCTTTCTGGATCTAGCTAGGGCTGCGACCGTGTCAGTCCCCACGACACAGCCAGGTCCCCTTGGGTAGGTGTTCCTGCTGCAGGCCTCTTTGCAGGGCCCCATTGCAGGCTGATAAGATGCCATCTGGGTACACAGAGGTCTTTTGCAGGTCGGCCCTTTCCCAGCTCTTCCAGCTGTGTTCTTCCCCCTCCCAAATGCTCCACCTCCACCTCCACCTCCACAGGGCCATGAATACTGGCTCCCTTTCCCGTGCCAGGCTCTGTGCTAAGCACTCGCCATGCTTTATCTCGTTAACCCACACTACAACTTTAAGAGGTGGATATTTTTATCCACATTTAACCGATAAGAAAAATGAGGCTCAGATAAAATAACTTGCCCAAGGTTACATACCTAATAAATGGCAGGGCCTGGATTTGAACCACCACGTTCTTAACCACTGAGCTCCACTGCCTTGCCTTGTTCAGTCCATGTTGGCTGGTTGATGGCCCATCCTCAGAGATGCCTGTTTCTGCAGTGAGCACCCCCCTCAAGCCTTTGACAACACCCTCACCTCCTTAGTTTACATCCGTGGGCCCTGAGCCAAATCTGAACCTGTTGAGCTTGATCAAAGACTGGATTTGAAAGAGAAAACAAAAGATGAGGATGATTCATTTTACTCTCTTCTTTGAGCCACTATGTATTGAGAGCCTTCTGTGTCTCTAGCACTGTTCTAGATCCCACATGAAATAAACAAAAACCCCTGCCCTCACAGAGCTTACCGTCTAGTGAATTAATAGCATGCCACATACTGCCAAGCTCCAAGAAGAAAGACCCATCCAGAAGGAGTAGTGAGAACCCTGGGAAGCAGGGGGCTATTGAGGGATGGCTTGAGGCCTCAGCTTTTCATGGGGATGGGTCATGTTCCAAGGCCGAGAGTGCTGGAGAGGCTGTGAGGGTTTCGGGGGCCCGGAGGTCTCTGAGCCTTCTTGTTTGTGCTGGTGGTGATGTGGAGGCCTAGGTGTAGGCAGAGGCAGTCCATCTGGAACTCCAGCTTCTGTTGCATGGAATGGCCTTGTATATACAGATTCTCTCCCATTATCAGTGAGTGAAGGATCCCTTTACAAAATTTCAATTCTTCCCCTGCCCAAATGCTCCACCTCCATCTCCACCTTCACAGGAATCATGACCAGATTTCCTCCCTGACCCACCTCTTCCCTTCTCCCTCCTCCCTGCCCCTGCCCCCACTCCCTCAAATTGGTCTGGCCTAAGGCCATGCAGAGTGATTTATCTAAACCCAACAAATATAATTAGAAAAGTAAATATGTGAGCCAAAAGAGCCTTATACTGTATTTTAAAATCAAATGTAAATAATTTATCACACCATGGTGAGAGGTGCAAAGGCTTTCCAAGCACCATGCCCTTCGCACCTATCATCTCCTTAAACTAACCCTCACTGCAAACTTGTGATCTAGGCTTTATCATCCCCATTTTGTAAGTTAAAAAACAAACAAATGAAAAAACAGAAACCCCAAGACTTAAAAATGTAAAGAAACATTACCAAAGTTACATAAATGTCAGGGTTGAGTTTTTAACCAAGGTATGTCTGACCCCAAAGGTCTGTGAAAGTTCTGCCCCGCCTCTAGTCCCAGGGTAGCCATTTATGCAAAAAGAGTAACCGTGGGCAAACTATTTTACCTTCCACTGCCTCAGTTTTCCATCTGTAAAATGGGGCCAATGCTGATAGCTGACTTTCCCCTGAACCTCAGTTCTGTTCTGGTGATCACATAAACTGGCATATAAGAAAGGCCACAGAACTTTCAGATACTGCAAAAATACAGCATTAATCCTACCCTTGAATTTAGAAATGATTATGGCTTTTCTACCATTTAACCTTGTTGGTATCCAGTGGTAGATTTCAGTTCAGAATATCTGATTGATTTTTTCACATTCCTGTTCTGAGAGTAGTCTCTGGCTGCTGACTGTATCATCTGTGTTGCTCTCTTCCCAGCAATTTAGCATCTCCTCTTCCACAGCTGTACTTCAGCTGTACCTCAGGCCCCTGATTGCCAAGTTGTATAGATGTTCTACAGCGTTCTTTCTTCTGGAATCCCAAGGGAGCAGTCCATATACACTCCTCTCCAGTAGTGTGCTGGTAAATGTTTAATAGCTGGCTTTCCGATTGTGAATCTGATGTGAAGGTTGGTTAATAATTACGTCTACAACAATAAGTAAGATAAAAGTGAAACAAAGACGCATTTCAGAACTTCATTGTTTTTTTTCCATATGAGCCACTTTTTTGCTGAATCAGGTAATAGTTTTCAAAAACTAGAAAAATATTACCTCAATATTTTCTGTTATTCACAATGTCACTGCTACAGACAGAGTGAACTTTTACATCTAATCCTACCATATTAACATTTTCTCTATCACTGCCTTCACTCTAGATAATCAGCAAACCAATAAATCAAGGCCTGAGTGTAGAGTGTGCCAATTTCTGTGGTGTAAATATTCTCACAACAGCCAATTTCAAGCTACCAATGTGATGTTACTGACTGTGGAATTGGGAATAGAGTCACAGTAGTATACCACTCTATAGTATTCCCACCATATGTATAATAGGCATAACCCAAGCATATAGATGACAGTAAACTGTAGTTTAAAAAAATTAGGATCTGATCTGACCTGTTGTATTATCTTTTAAAAATATAATTAATTAATTATATGTTTATATCATTTAATTTTTAACAGTGGCTCTGTTCAACAACCAGCTTGCAAAATTCCTGAAAATTTACCAGTCAGCTTTCACAAGCCAGTGCAAGCTTCAGCATACCACTGTCCCCATTCCTCTTCCCGTTAGCCCTGATGGGCCCTGTGCCATCTGATGGCCACACCTCTTGTTAAATAGCTCCAGTTAGTCCTGATCCACGCAAATCGAGAGAACATGAGTCAATGCTCAGCTTCTCCAAATAAACAACGTCAACAGCTTCAGTCCAGTGGAGTGACTTAATGATCTGTTTCCTTCAATAAACTGTGATTTCTGAACTCAATTCAGATACCTGAGCATCGCAGTAAGCCGAGAGTGAGGCCTGGAGGCGTTCATAATGTAATATACTAAGTTTAAACTTGGCAAGTGGATGACATTGTGAGAAATGGATTTTCTTAGCCCGATTTTGGGAGTTTGGGGTATTTTTTTAAGAGTTAAGCCAAGGCCAAAAAAAAAAAAATAATAACCTTTGTAATACATCACTTCACAGCTGGTTAGCCCGGGAGAGGCTATTCTGGGATATTCAAGCTAAAGAACCTCTTTTTAAACTCCAGGCAAACTGGAATCAGGATGCGGGGTTTTTATTTCTGTCTGTCATGGATCTACTGTGTAATGTCTGTCCAGTTAGTTCCCTGGGTGGGCCTCAGTTTATCTTCTGGAGAAGTCAAGTCAATTGCCTTTACCTAGGGCATTATTAGATTTTTGAATTGTGGAGACTGAAAGAAGATAGTTAGTAGGGTTTATCAGAGGGTTTGAAGCGTCCACTTGAGGTGTTCTAATCAGTGGAGAGTCAGGGAGGGGCGAAGCTGAAGTAGGATCCTATAAGTAGGATCCTACAAATGAGCAAGATGTAGCAGAGAGGAAGGGGAAGAGGTATGGGAAGGTGAAGGCGGGGTGAGGGCCTCCAAACAACCACCTGTGAAAATGTCAGGCAAGTGGCTAGAGTAAACTGCGTCCAATGTTCACTTTGCCAACACGGCGAATGTGGGCATAAGATGACTTAGATACAGAGGAAAAGGCAGGCAAGATGGAGTGGGCAGGTTCCTTTTGTCTGGGTTTGACAAGAGAGTTTCCTGGGTAGGGAAGGAATGTGATCAAAGTTATGATTCTGAGGCCTGCCTGGAAGATGACCAGGGAGTAAGCAAACTTGGAAGCAAAACCAGCCTCCCAAACACCTGTGTAATATCATGTCCTGAGCCACCGTATCAATAATCTCCCTTCTGTTCATCAGTAGTCTTTGTAGTTCTCAGGGTCACAAGCCTCTCTCCTCTCTTGAAAGCATGAGCCTTAGAAGGGATCACTGCATACTTCCTCAGTTGTCAAGAATACACATGTGTCATGGATACGAATAATACAGTGGACTTTGGGGACTGGGGGGAGGGGAAGGTTGGGAGGGGATGAGGGATAAAAGACTATACATTGGGCACCGTGTACACTACTCAGGTGACGGGAGTACCGAAGTCTCTGAAATCACCACTGAAGAACTTATCCATGTAACTGAAAACCACGTGTTCTCCAAACACTATTGACATTTTAAAAAATTCCCACCATGCCTTAAATGTATGTCATCTTACTTTTTTTTGTTAGCAGCCTAGAGGGAAGGGGACAGAACCCCAATTTTAGCATCAGAGCAACTGAGACCTACAGAGATTAAATGACTTGCTCCAGATTACAACTGAGACTCAAACCTATCGCCTGGCCACAAATTTTGTGCCCTGTCTACACCAGTCTGTCTCTGGTAAACCTCACTAGTTAGTCAGCTTTTCCCATCCATAGCCAGGTACCTTTTGAAATAACAAACCATCTGATCTCTAGAAAAACTGAAAGGCCAGTTCCAGTTGTCAGACACGCCAAGCTCCAGAGAGTCTTTCCCAAACGTTCTCTGGAAAGCCCAGGGATTCCAAATTCCAAAGCCAGCCAAATTTGAATTTCCTCTATAAAGAGATAGTCCCTCCTGGTTTAGAACATAACCTTCCTCATTAGGCTAGTTCCATGTTTTGTAATAACTTTTGCTTACACCACAAAATTGTCATAGATTATGAAAACACAAAGGCCTTGGAAAAAAGGTCCAGAGCCCCCTGGAAGTCGTTATTTCTTCCTTTAGCAATTGCTGAGTTAAGCACCATAAATATGGTTCCCATCCTGCTCCCCTTCCCCCGCCCTCCCCGCCCCCCCACGATCTGCTGGACACATGTTCAGAAGAAAGCAGGGACATGGGGGTGGAAGATTCACATGTCGTGAATCTTGAGCACTGAAAAGAAAAAGTGGGGAGAGGGCGGGGAGTTTGCAGCCCTGGAAATGGAATCTCTGAAGGATTTATTGCCTTTGAGTATCTCACAAGGCTTTTTTTTTTTTTTTTAATAAAAATCCGTAGCTTATGGCATTTTTTTTTTTTTTTTTTTTTTTTGTATAGGGCAGTAAACAAGAGCTCTGAAAGGGGAAGGAAGCCAGGAGAAAGCCAGCTCCATTAGTCACGCAGCAGCATATCCTGTCACAAAGGACCCCAGTTGAGTAATCGCCCAAAATATGCCTGTTATTTTTTTTCTGTCAGAAAAAAAAAAAATGGGGCCTGCCAAAATGTACTGTAAAAAAGAAAAAAAAAAAAAAATCTGGTCTCTCAGGCCCAGAGAGGGAAAGGAAAATAAAGAAGAAACAGGCATGATGGAGCCCTCTCCCCATCTTACCTGGAAAAGAAAACGCCTTCAGACTTTTCACCGTAGCAGAGCCCAGCAGCATTGAAGAAAGCTACAGCCTTGGGATGGTCCAGGTCTCAGAGTCTTCATAGCTACTTGGTTCCAAGAGCTTAGAAAGAGGAGGGGTGGTCGGGGAGGGTGGAAGGAGGATGGCACTGGGAGAGAGGAAAAATGAACAGAAAGTGGCCCAGGATATTGAACCAGTCCTTTGATGAGCTTCAAATGGGTGAGGCCATTGCTCATAGGAACTTGCAGGAGTGCACACCGGTTCCATGAATATTGCATGAGCCCAGCAGGGGCCAATGATTTCCAGCCAATGGCCAAGCCAGCTCCATAAGCTTTTTTGATGGCCTCAGCGAAACCTGCGCTGTCTCGGGCCTCCACCATACCCTGTGGGTGCTTGGGCCACAGACTGGACAATAAGGACTTGTGCGGAAGGACACTGGACTCCGGAGAGGTCTGAAACAAGGGGTGGGGAGAGACCGCTGGTCAGAGCTGCCTCCAACCTCCTGTGTTCTCCCGGATTGGCTTTCTAAAACCCAGGTGGACAGGCTTCTGGGGGGAAAACTGAGACCTACCAAACAAAGGTGTTCTCAAGCCCAGTTCATTCATGCCTCTGTCCCATGCTCTCAGTCTCATGGCTCTCAGGACCAGGACACAAAGAAGGTACATTTCAGCACAGAATACTCTTGGAAAGCCATCGTTTCCCTCCTGCTGACATTCTGAGCCACTCAAGAGTTGTCCATGGGGAACAGGCTTTCTGTACCCAGTTGACCAAAAATAGCAGAAACCTTCTACTTAAGAAAGAGAGTAGGCCAGACACAGTGGCTGATGCCTATAACCCCAGCACTTTGGGAGGCTGAGGCGAGAGGATTGCTTAAGCACAGGAATTCAAGACCAGCCTGGGCAACACAATGAGACCTCGTCTCTACAAAAAATTTAAAAATTAGCTAGGCATGCTCTCAGTTACTCAGGAAGCTGAGGTGGAAGGATTGCTTGAGCCCAGGAGGTTGAGGCTGCAGTGAACCGTGATCACGCCACTGCACTGCGGCCTAGGCAATAGAGCAGAAGATCCTGTCTCAAAAAAGAAGAAAGAGAACAGAGCCCTACAGAGGAGAGAAGGTGGGCACACTGTCACTTTTGCTCCCAAGCTCCCTGAATCTCTCCTAGAGGAAACACCCCAAACCTGCCTCCACTCTGCAGGAGCAGGCTGGGGAAGACCCTTTCCAGGGACACCTCCAGGGACCTGGACTCTAACATTTGGCTGCTTGGCCATTCTGGGCCAAGAAGACTCCTTCCCTAGCCCAGGACCATGCGTCTCCCTGATGATTGCTGCAGAAAGGCCCAATTTTCAGGGGCCTACCCAGTCCTTCAATAACTTTAAGCCACCCATGTTGTCTGAGTCACAGTCGAAAGGCAGTCCTGAGCTTCGAGGCCCGTGCTTGTCTTGCCACTGCTTCCCCTGGGAGAGCTGACTGGCTTCCTGCAGAGCTGGCCTGCAAGTTGGAAGGGCAGATTCTCCTTCCAGCCTCCAGGCTAAATTGCTGTGGAATTTCAGGCCACTCAAGTGAACTTTCTGTGACTATCTTTTCCTTCCTTCAAGATTTATCAAATATTAATTGGAGCTTCTATATGCCTGCAATATGGAGGTCCTGAGAATTAAATAGGGAATAATACAGATACAGTTCTTCTTCACGTGAAGCCTGGACAACCTTTCTCCTTTCCTCCCTCCCTCCCTCCCTCCCTCCCTCCCTTCCTTTCTTCCTTCCTTCCTTCCTTCCTTCCTTTCCTGATGCAAGCCCCTTGGATGGTGGGCCAGGGGTGGGAAGGTAGTGGTGGGGGTGTTTATAAATACAATAAAAAATAAACCCACACAGTGCAAAAACCCTATGTTAATACTATTAATAGTATTTCCAAATTGCTTACAGGTAGAAGACAGTTCCTTAGCTACATGATTGTAATGAGAATTCCACAAGGGCTTCTGGAATTTACTCTGTCAGACATTCTAGCTTATCAGGAAATGAAAAGGACCAAGACCACCGTATAATGCACAAACTATGCTAATGCCTATCACTAGCGTATATCAGACCCCAGTTACAGGACTGACCCGTGGGGACCCCCCTTGTCTCAGCGTTAATCGCATCAAGTACCTGAGGCCTGTTGTCCTCCTGAGGGCTCAACACCTTCTGGCAGCCAGGTCCTTCATATAATCCAAGAGTTGAAATCACTGTCAACACAGTAATGTTCCAGGGTGACAGGCCTAGCACATGAACACACGAGTGATGCTATTATCCCTCGAATCACAGGTGAGTGAGGTCTCTGGAGGTGCCCACCCCCACATGAATTTTCCTTTGTGATAGCAGTGACATCTGAGCATGGCGCCACAATTTAGGCTCACCCCCTCCCCTTCCTGTACCCCAGAAGGGGGCTGAAGGCGGGTCCTCACAGCAGAAAAAGCTCCACTTCCTCTGAGCTCCAGACAGCACATCTCAGCTGTGTTGGGCCTTACAAGGCTGCGGTCAACAGGTACCCACGTGATGAGGTCTTTCGCAGCCTGTTGTTCTCGTTTAGCCTTTTGATGTTTCAGAACCGATGAGGTCAGCATCTTCCGGGCTGTGGGAAACATGCCTGCCAGGTACACCTTTTAAGCAGCTGATTAATATGTGGTCTCTGGTCAGAGGAGAGTGTAAGGGCTGCTGAAATGACTCACCAGCTCAGCTCCCGTGTCTTTGGGAAATGCTTCCCTCTCAGCAAGAAGCCTCCAGCTGAAGAGTAAAGACATCAACCTGAAAGGGTAAAGTTCTAGCATCCAACAAACTATTCTACATTCTGAATGAAGTGAGAAATGGTAGACACTTCACCTGCCAGGGCCTTGGGGCCTGTGTCCCAGGCTGTTTAGAAATCCAAGCCTAGTGTTGTTCATCTGTGATGCTGATGAGAAGCCTGTGAGACAGGGAGCCTCACTGGGCCTCCAAAGTCCACTCTCTGGCCTGTTACTTGGCACCATCAGATCTACACTGGGGATGGTGTAACTAGAGCCTTTCAGTGCATGAAGAGTTTGTGGCCTGACAAAGCACTTACTGACCAAGGAAAGTCAACTGCAGGTGCAGCAGGAAAGGTCTGGTACCAAGAATGTCTGGGGTTTTGAGACATTGGAAAAGATTATCTAATAATGTCATGGGCTCCCTTCCCTGGAAATATCTGAAAATAGGGTAAATTCCCTTCAATCTTGGATGGATCAACCTCGTCTTGAGGTAAAGAGATGGTTACATCAACCCATGTAGAGGGCTCATCAGCAACTTTGAGTCTATAAGAGGGTATATTTTCATACAAAGAAAACTTTTTCTTATGGTAAAAATATACATAACGTAGAAGATACCATTTTAACCATGTTTAAGTGTACATTTCAATGGCGTTAAGTACATTCACATTGTAGAACCTTCGCCATCATGTCTCTACAGAACCTTTTCATCTGCCCAAACTGAAACTCTGTGCCCATGAAACACTAACTTCTCTTTCCCCTCCTCCCAGCCCCTGGCACTTACCACTGTACTTTTCATCTTTATGATTTTGACTACTCTAGGTACCTCACGGAAGTGGAGTCATGCAGTATTCTCATGTGACTGGCTTATTTCACTTAGTATAATGTCCCCAGGTTTCGTCCATATTGTAGCATGTGTCAAAATTTCATTCCTCTTGAAGGCTGAATATTATTCTATCATGTGTGTGTGTGCATGTGCCTCTGTGTGTGTGTGCATGTGCCTGTGTGTGAGTGCATGTGCCTCTGTGTGTATGTGCATGTGCCTATGTGTGTGCGCACATGTGCCTGTGTGTGCGTGCGCATGTGCCTGTATGTGCGTGTGCATGTGCCTGTGTGTGTGCATGTGCCTGTGTGCGTTTACCTGTGTGTGCGTGTGCCTGTGTGTGCATGTGCCTGTGTGCGTTTACCTGTGTGTGTGCGTGCCTGTGTGTGTATGCGTGTGCCTGTGTGTGTGTGCCTGTGTGTGTGCACGCATGTGCCTGTGTGTGCGTGTGCATGTGTCTGTGTGTGTGCGTGTGCCTGTGTGCGTGTACATGTGCCTGTGTGTGTGCACTCATGTGCCTGTGTGTGTGTGCGTGTGCCTGTGTGCGTGTACATGTGCCTGTGTGTGTGTGACTGTGCCTGTGTGCGTGTACATGTGCCTGTGTGTGCACTCATGTGCCTGTGTGTGTATGACTGTGCCTGTGTGTGCATGTGCATGTAGCACATTTTGTTCATTCATCTGTGATGGACAGTTGAGTTGTTTTCACCTTTTGGCTATTGTGAATAATGCTGCCATGTACTTGGGAGTAAAAATGTCTGTTTCTCCTTTCAGTTCTATACCCAGAAGCGGAATTGCACAAAGAAAAATTTAAAGACAAAAGTGTTGTGCCCCGGAAGAAAACATGTCAATGTCCTCACATCATGATCCCATATGGAGAGGAAACACCTAAAAACATTGGGCCACAGTAAGACAAGGTAAGAGGAACTAAGGAAGCATGGAAGAAGGAGCTGATTGGTTCCTGGAGCAACCAGAGAAGCCTTCACAGAGATGAAACTGGAGCTGGATTCTGATGGGTAAGTAGGAGTTTGCTTGGTAGAAAAAAAATAGAGAAGGGCAGGAAAAGAAACAACCCTTTCCAAAAAAGAGGAGACAAAACATTACATGTGCATGTCCTTTGACTCGGCAATTGCACTGGCAGGAATTCTGCTGTTATCCTCACACACTTATGCTCAAGGCATATGTCTGAGGATCGTCATAGCAGCAATATCTGCAAGACTTAGACACTGGGAGCAGCCTGTGACCCCTCACTAGGACACTGGTGAAATACACCATGGTACAGTCACACTGTGAATTCCCACACAACCATTAAAAAGAATGAAGGAGGGCCAGGCGCAGTGGCTCATGCCTATAATCCCAGCACTTTGGAAGGCCAAGTCGGGTGAATCACCTGAAGTCAGGAGTTTGAGACCAGCATGGCCAACATGGTGAAACCCTGTCTCTACTGAAAATACAAAAAATTAGCAGGGTGTGGTGGTATGTGCCTATAATCCCAGCTACTGGGGAGGCTGAGGCAGGAGAATTGCTTGAACCCAGGAAATGGAGGTTGCAGTGAGCCGAGATCGTGCCATTGTGCCCCAGCCTGGGCGACAAGAGTGAGACTCCATCTCAAAAAGAAAAGAATGAAGGAGATCTCCAAGTACTGATAGGACAAAAATTCCAGACTTGTTTTTAATTAAGAAAAGCAGATGTCACTATATGCCCAAGTTCTTTTCCTGGAAGGACACACAAGAAACTCTTAGTAGTCATTACCTTTGAGAGGAGCAACTGTAAATTGAGGGAAGAGAAATCCAATGTCCATGTTATGCTTTCTAATGTGTATGTATTGCATTTCAAAACAAAGTGAACAAAGCTGGGGGTGATGAGATTACAGGACACTTTTATATTCTTTGTGCTTTTTAAAATTTAAAATATTTCTTAAAGAAAAGCAGCTATTTTTCTGGAATTGTTTAGTCCCAATGGCTCCTAAAGGCAGAAAGATGGAGGAGCTGTTTAAAGGGCCATCCTTTAGGAGTTTCTCTTAGAGCTTTGCAAGGATTCCTTTCAAGACAGAATGGTATCCTCATCTCCTCAACAGAAAAACTTCAGGGCCAAACAAGAATTAGGCCAAAAGCTTGGGGCCAGGCATGTGTGGTGCCGGGGTTAGGGGATCCCACAATGCCTGGCCAGTCGTCCTGGGGACAGGACCCCTGTACCTCTTTTGCACTTCTCTGTACCCCTCGTGGGGACCACATCTCTGGGACAAAAACCCAGCTACACAGGGTTAACCCCTGCGCTTTGCTTCACTGAGCATGGCTGAGGAGGAGGGGGTGTGGTGAGAGCAGGGGGGGCTCCATCCAGCCCCAGCTCCAGGCAGCATTAATAAAATGCAGGTGTTTTGTGTATGTATAGCCGCTTGAGGGAGGAGGGAAAAAGAGCCTTGACTGCAGCAAGCACTTAGAAACAAGAGCCGAGTGTGGTCGAGGAAAATGTGCCTGCAAATAATGAGAAAGCATTTTACAGAGAGCCTTGGCTTTACGGTTAAGAAGAATGCAGCAGTTTCTGGCACAGGCCTACCCTGTACTTCCCCCTGGGGATGTGTGTGTGTGTGTGTGTTTGTGCGCGCGCGCGTGCACGCACGCATGTGTATGGACACAGGCTCCTGTGCATGCATGTTCACACACACACACCCCACCACCACCACCACAGATCTTTTCCCAGCCAACACCTCAGACAACCTAAGTTTGGCCTTCACTCACTTTGACCAGGAATTGGTTCTGAGATTCCCTTCCCTCCCTACTTGTCACCCTCCATCTTTTCTCTCCTGTCTTCCTCTCTCTGGACCCCATGCCCTGCAACTCCTCCTTTCCACCATCACTTCCTTCTCTCTGGGGCCTTGGGGGAGATGATGGTATCTCCCCTTGGCCAGCCCCCTTTTCTTAATGCCCCGTGGCTCTGCTTTCAAGCAGGTGGCTTGTGAGCCTGACTCCCACCCTCCTTTCTCAAGCCCACCTCCCTTGTAGTTGGAAATGGGGTCCTCTGTCCTCCCCTCCCCACATCCCCCAGGGAGGTGGGAAGTGACTGTTCCCACCTTCTAGAGGGTTGCCCTCCATTAGCCCAAGCTAAAGGATCCTAAAATTAAGTGATTTCTGTGACTTATTTAGTTTTTGCCTCCTTGCCCGAGACCTACTGAGGAGTGCAATTGTAGGTGAGTTGTCCTGACACAGGAAAGGTTTCAGGAGACTAGGGGGGATCTTTGAGGCCCTGCTCGGCCCCAGGCAGGTTGGGGTCTGAGTGGGAGTCACAAGTGGAGGTGAAGCTCCTCCAGAGGGACATGGGTTTCTGATTCCAGGGGGAGGGTTGGGAAGAGGTGCTGGCAGGCTCAGGAAGGGCCCCTGTCACTGGCTACCAAGCTGATCCTGGTGTCTAAAACCACCGAGCCAGAACCCAGGCCAGCAAAGGCCACCCAACAGCATAGGAAATATGTTCCCCAGAATTTGGCACTCCCTGGTCAGACAAGAGCAGGGGCTGGCAAGAGCTCTGTCCTCCAGCCTGTCTGAAATAGGAGGACCAAGCTCTAGAGGATCAAGTTTTTACTTTCTCAACTCCCATACTCTACCCCCTACCTGCCTCCTCAACCTCCTTAAAAAAAAAACAGACAGAGCAGGGGTGGACAGGCAGCAGCCCCACCGTCCCCCCGCCCTGACTCATCCCCTCATCCCTGCCCACAGCCCACAGGCTGGCTGGCAGCAGCTGTGTCAGGAAGCAGGACTGGCCCTCAGTGCGGGACCCACATTCTAGAACTGAGGAATCTCCCTGGAGAGTAGTTAATGTGGCTGCTTGTCTCAGACCCTGAATTGGAACACCCTGTCTGACAACCCCAAGACTGGGACTTGTCACTCGTGGGAGTAACAGTGGGAACCACCCTGGAAAATCCAGGGTGCAGGGTCCCCTTACCAGCACAAAGCAGCCTTGGAGTCTCCGTGTCCCCACACTCAGTTCTTCCTCCCTTCTGGGAGTGGAACGGGGGAGAAAACCTTGCATCCTCAGTGGCCCCCACTCTCTGAAAGGTGCCCTCAAGGCCTTATTCCTCCCTCCACTCTGTTATATGGAAGCTATGAGGAGCAGATGTTTCTAATGAAGGGCCCAGGCCAGGCTCTGGATGTAACAGGCACACTGTAGAGCGCTGGCTCCTGTGGAGGGGCCACAGCCCCCAGACCTCTGAAAGCACAAGCCGCCCAGTGAATGGGACACACACTCTCTTGAATTCTCAGCTCCTTTCAGGAAATTGCCAAGTTAGCCCTTGGCTTTCTCCTTCCCAGTGCCCTCCCCGTTTCCATAGCAACCGCCTCCCCATCCTCCGGAGCCTCTCTCCAGTCCTGCCCGCCCCCTCCTCTCCACCACCTTCAGCGTCTCATCTGTCTGGGTGGGAACCAGGATTAGAGTTCATCGGGCCGGCTGGGATGCTTTTCCCAGGGCCGCTTTGCCTTCGTGATCCCTTTGCTGCGGCCCGGCCCCTGCCCCAGGCTTTTCAAGTCCCCCAGACTTAATGACCAGCCCTGGGTTTCCTCCTCTTCTCTTTTTCTGCCTCCAATAAAGCCGGAGAATTAACCCAGGTTTTAAGTGCCCCGTTCCAAGCTGAATATCAAAGAGGGCTTCCCCAAGCTGCTTCTGCATTTCAAAGGGGCTGATTTATCACTTTCACTTAAACCGGCACATTTTGGGGAAAGAGTTTTACCCAGAGGTCAAACTCTGGAAAAACAAATGGATCCCCATTCACCCCCTCCTGGGGTGCTGTGGGCTATTAGTGTATAAACTGTTGGTGGGTAGGTGGGAAACAGGCTGCCAGCACTCCTCAGCAGCCTGGGTCCAAACCCCCAAGAGTGAGGGCGGTGGTAAGGAAGG